GTGCAGACATGTAGTTAAACGTGAGGGTAACAATTAAAAAGATGTGAAATCTCAACAAATTCAGCAAAAAAACGATTTTTTTTTTTTTTTGCTTTCTTTTACTACCAATGGGCATGATTGTCTTAAACTTTAAATGAAGTAGTTCAATGTGCTTTTGAAACATTCGAAAGACCCTGAAATGAAATATTTGCACGTATTAAGCCTTTGGTGGCAAAATGATTAATCCAGCCCACGTATAAATGAAGAAGATGTATTAATAAAAATAATAATAATTATCTTTTTTAAGATTAAGTTTTTAAATGAGGTGGTCAACATTTTTCATCAATCCTACACACAATCATATAAACCACTAACATTACATTTACACAAAGCCAAGAATATGATTGCAAATGCTAATGAAAGTTATTATTATTAAGCATCCCAAACGAACCATTAAATTGCTTAGTTAGGTTTAGGTTTATAACTGACTTCTTGTAATTCTATGTCATGCATGCCAAGTTGATAGTGAGATTGAGCATGTTTGACTAAGCTTAAAATAAAATAAAATAAATTTTATTTTAAAAATAACTTTTGTAGAATAGAAGTTTGCTATTTTGAATTTTTTTGCCATATTTCTTTGTAGTCGGTATCAAATTAGAGAGAGAGAGAGAGAGAGAGTTCAATAATTTGAGGTCGGAATGAAAGTCTCACGTCTTATTACATGAATCTTTTACTTTGTGACATCCTAGTCCTAATTGGATCATTCACTAATTGTAAGAGATAGATCAAACAGTTAAAAAAAGGTAGTTGAACTTAATATACGTTAATAACAATATTTAATTTTATATTTTTACTAAAGTTCATTTAATAAAGAGTAAGCACTGATGGAGATACAAAATACTTAAATTGCTTATTTCTAAACTTAATCACAAAGAACTCCATAAACATGAATAGAAATGGCAACTACTTCCAAATCCTCATAGTAATAATGCCTAAACCCTAGAGACCCTAATTAAAAACTCTAATTGTATTTTTGCCAAAACAATTGAAAATAAATTAGACGATTTGTTTACTAAGATCTTATGCAATTATTTCTTTTTCTTAAGGCAAACCAACGGGGCGGCCATTTTATTAATATCAAATATTGTAGAGTACAAGTTAATTAGGAAGGGGACAAGAGATGACCTCTCAGTGTAATAAGAGTATATAGGCAATAGCAAGGGTCGACAAGCTACGAAAAATCCAGGCTAAAGATCTTTATTCTTATTTAAAAAGGTTAACTAAGATAATGGAAACCTCATTGACATCACCATAAATGAATGTGTTGAGTCAATGGCATTTGATATTAGTGCTTCTCAGCTCAGAGATTGATGACAGCCCTATTGCTTCTTGGAGTTGTCAGACATTAAAATATTTTAAATTATTTTGCATTTTATTAGGCTTCTTTTTTGTCAATAGATAGAAAATATAAATTAATAACATATAGTGACTTTGTAAATTCGATGTTTATCTAACCGCAGGCCAATGTCATTTTCTAGTCTCATCTGAGGAATTATTATTGTTTCGTTCCTATATAATGTCTACTTGCCTTCTTTAATGCGTGTAACATCGTCTCAGTTAGAAGTTTAAGGGAAAAAAAAAGTTAAAATAAATACAAATGCATGTCTTCACCACTACTCTTAATAAATGAAGAAAAGATTTAATTTTTTTTTTTTTTAAACATGCAATATGACAAGTCTTATTTCCAGACTTTCAGTTCAATAGTTGTTAAAATACAGGAAAGTGTTGATCATATTTACACTCAAAACTCCTCATCATCCACTGTTGATCTTGTAATAGGTATAGACCACCTCCCTAAATGAGCAGTGTAGTTGATGCACCGGATAATACCTACTCCGGTGGGCCCGTCCGGGAAATCAACGATGCTGATACTGCCTGAATCAAGATGAAATGATCCCATCCGTTCCTTTGAAAGTTTTAAGCAGTGTCCCATCATTGCAATGTGAACTGCAGGATTCCCAACTGCAACAAGAACTTTCTCTGAATCAGAACCTTTATTTAGTTCATCTAACAAATATTTCCAGGCTTTTCCTGATTGATTCCATAACTCTGTTGTTACTTCATCCTACATATATAGAAACGAACACAAAGTTAAGAATGTAAATTTAAAGGACAGACAGTATTTAAGGTATAGATAAATATGAGCCTAAATAAGCAAGAAAATGCAACAGTTTGTACAAATTTGTCGCTTTTCTATCTATGTGCTCTATTGATTAAACACAGTGTAAGGTAAGCGAGGTAGAACCACCAAGGCTCACATTTAGGAGGCCTAACAGACATTGCCTAGTTTTTCTTCGCATGCTGAGCAAAATATATTGTGAGACATCATCTGGGCCGGGCCTTTCGTTTTTTATCTTTTGGAACCAGGCCTCGTTTTTAATCGGTCAGGCCCACATCACAGCCCGGAAAGGAGGCTTGGTCGTGCAGAGGCTCAAAGGCCTCGCCCATTTGTCACCCAACAAAAGGGACAATGATGCACACGACAAACCTAACCACAAGAATTAAGTTAAGAGCATGTTCAGCTAAGCTTAAAATTTACCTTTCTAGAAAAGTAAGTTTAGACTTCCTAGAAAAGTAAAATTATGTAGCATAAAACTAACTTTTTTCCTTTTTAAGTTCAAACAATCATGCATGCTCTAAATCAACTTTATTTATGTCCACATTTCAGCTTCATATGTCAATTAAACCATAAATTCTTGCCTTCTTTGATTGGTTAAAGATGTTTTCAACATCAAGGCCCCGTGTCTGGTTCATTTCCACATAGCGTGGTACACAATCAGCGCCCAAGCAATCAGCAGCTTCTTGAACCTAAAACATAACCTATTGGCATGAACTTAAATTCAGCAGAAAGTGCCGTGACAAAAGTAACAGATATTGGATATCTGTACTCAACGGAGAACTGTAATTGAGTTCCACCACTCTCAGAACCCACTTAGCATAACTTTTGAGAAGTCAAAATGAGTTTTTAAAACCCAAAAGCTGCTTTTGGATTTATTTGACAAATTTTATGTAAGTTCTTCTCCGAGTGAGAAGAGTTTTTAGAGGCAAGGATTAAATAAATAAGTGAAGGCACATTTGACATGGCTTTTGCTTTTACTTTTTGTAGAAGAGCTTCGTGAGCATTCTCTAAAAGCACTTCCAATAGAGAAAGTTCTTTTATAAATTAGTTTTCAAGCAAAATTTAAGATAGCTTCCTCATAAAACTCTTATGTAAAAAGTAAAAGTAAAAATTATGTCAAATGCGCCCTCACTCATTTATTTAATCAACAAGGTTTGACACCATATATAATAAATATATGATCGAAACTAAAATTGCCTAAAGATGACTGCATGCCAATTAGAAATATTATAAACTACCTTATTTTTGTGCTGGGTATGTATAATCTAGATTAGTTTTGAAAATTGAAATGAATGACTTAGTGGGTTTGAAAGTAGATTCAACTCAAAATTCCTAGTACAAGGTTATTAGTGATTTTCAGTTAGTATTATCTTGGTCGAATATATGAAAATTGGATAAATCGAAGCAAGCGATATACTTGCTCCAATCATGGAGATTTTTCTATCCAATTTTGAGCCAGAAATGAACAGAAGCATACTTTTATACTTCCAATTATAATATTGTATGCAAAGAAAACATACCCACTCAGTTAAACAAAGAATTAACCAGTTCGTATGCTCTGTTTTTCTCTTAGTACATTAGAGAGTCTTATATGAAGTTAGAGCATCTGCAAGAGACTCTTTAAACACGAAATACTCTCTATTTTAAATAAACAACCCTCAAATTCATGCTCCAAAAGACTCTTTAAATTAACATTTTAATTTAGAGAGTTTTCTAAAATTAAATGCATTCAAAGTATTTTAATTTTCAATGTACAAAAACAATATAATAATCTAGAGAAAATTTAGTTAAAATAAAATATAGAGAAAAATAATAAATATATTTTGGGAGTAGTAAAATTAAATGTTAAATATAAAGAGCCTATTGAAATATTTCAAAATTTTTATAAGAAGAGTAAACAAAAAGGAAACCTACACTAGAAGGAAACTAAATAAAATTATGCACAAATCAAATATGCTATATGGCTAACATTCCAACAAACTCACAATATTACAGCAAGAAACAGCGAGAGTTTATTAAGCAAGAAACGAAAACGATGAATTGGATGAGACTTCGTGAAAAAGTCAACAAACTACAATGACCAAGAAACAAAAGGTAGGAAAATAGTAGCAGTCTAAGGATGGTGGAGAACCAGATGACAGTCAATCTCAATATGATTTGTGCACTCATGGAACTAAGCTCTTTAACCATTGTTTAGCTCACCATATGTATTCCATGCCCCCTTATCCATATCTAGCTACTAAATATGGGACCCAACTGTGAGTATCAACATGCAGGCTCCAGATCCAAGTGATAGTATTAAGTCTTTTAGCAGAGTTGTGAGAAATCTGAATAGCACTTTGATTATCACAATAGATAGAAGTTGTAGAAGACAAGAGAACACTCATGTCTACAAGTAACTAACGCAACCACACAATCTTAGTGGTGGTGGATGTCATAGCTCGATACTCAACCTCAATAGAGGAACGAAAAATAACAATATGTTTCTTACTCTTCCAAGAGATAAGTAAATCGCCCAAAAATATATAAAAATCAATAGTAGACTTGCAATCAGTGGGATTACTGGCCCAATCAGCATTAGAGTAGGCACAGAGTACTGAAGAGAAGTCAATGGAAACAAAAGACTCTGAAAGCAAGTACTACAAAAATAACGCAAAATACAAACAGCAGCTGCCTAATGAACTTTAGTAAGAGTTGAAACTAACTAACTAACAAAATGAACAGCATAAGCAATATGGGGACATGTGATGATATGATAAACCGGAATCCAATAATGGTGCGATACAAAGTGGGATCAGTCAAGGGTACACCATCAGACAATAAATATCGAGTGTTGGGCTCAAGACGCTCAAGAGCATCCATAATTAGACTGAGAGAGAAGATAACCTCTAGGAAAAGAAGTAACTTCAATCCCCAAAAATAAGATAATGCACCTGTCCTTCATTTCAAAACGACGCGCCAATTTTGATTTCAAATATGCAATCCCACCAACATCATCACCAGAAATAATCAATCGTCAGCATACAGCAAAAGTAGAATGTGACCAATCGAAGTGCATCTAAAGAATAATAAGGGTCATGATGACTAGATGTAGAACCGAGAGAGGTAACAACAACGAAAAATTTCTCAAACCAAGCACGAGGTGTTTGTTTGAGGTCATAAAGTGTCTTCTTAAGCTTGCAAACATATCTAGGAGAGTAAGAAAGACAGAAAAAAGGAACCATACACGCTTCTCCTGAAGATTTCCATTCAAAAAGGTATTTTTGACATCCAACTAAGAGAGACTCCACTGACGAACATATGCAACAGCAATAAGTGTACGAACGGTTGTCATCTTGGCAACATGAGCAAAATTCTTCTCATAAAGTCTTTATGGGCTTGGGTTAAGGTTAGTATAAATATTGATGATGTAACCCTATTATTCATACTGAATAAAAATATCTCCGCTTCGCTTTTTGTGGATGTAGGCATATCGCCAAACTATGTAAATACTTGTATTGATCTCTCTCTTTCATCTCTTTACTATAGCGTTAAAAATATCCAACATCTGGTATCAAATCCAAGCTTAGATGGCAAATTCTTTGACTGCAAAATTCGATGTGATGAAACTCGATGGAACTGAGAATTTTGAATTATGGCAGCGAAGGGTAAAGGATTTGTTAGCACAGCAAGAGATAGTGAATGCGCCAACTGGGAAGAAGCCAGAGAGCACATCAGCTGCCGATTGGTAAGTGCTTGAGGCATGAGTAGAGGGTTACAATTCGACTCTGTTTCACAGACAAGATCATATATCACGTCATGGACATTGAGTCTCTGACGGAGGTTTAGCTAAAATTCGAGAGTTGTTATATATCGACATCTACCACGAACAAGCCATATATGAAGCAGTAGCTATACGGGTTCAAGATAATAGAGGGTACAGATCTGATTCAACATACTATTGTCTCCAATCAAATTATTAGCGATTTTCTACGACTTTAAATCAAGTTCGATGAAGAAGATAAGGCAATGATATTGATGTGCTCTCTTCCTCCTTTGTACTACCACTTAGTGATCACGCTAACGTGGGGTAAAGAGACTCTCGACTTGGAGGAAGTCACGTTAGCCTTGGTAGCCTACAACCAGAGAAAACTATGTACTGGCAAAAGTTCACAAGGTGAGAGGTTGATCATGAAAGACTACCAGGATCGTAGGAGAAAGAAGGAAAGGGGTAGCTCTTACAAAAGAAATACAAGATCAAAATCTAGGAATCGAAGTAAGAAAAATGTCAAGTGCTACAAGTACTATCAGATAGGTCACATTAAAGGAAAGATGATAGGTCCTCAAACTCGACTAGTGTTGCAGAAGGAGACTTAGATTCTTAAGATGGAGACATGCTATCAATCTCTACAAGTAATTCTAATAGATTACATGACTCCTAGGTACTTGATTTAGCCTATTTATATCTCCTCACCGGATTGGTTTGATCCATATCATTCGAGTAATTTTGGATCTGCTTTGATAGGTAATTATACATCATGTAAGGTCATTGGAATATGATCCATAATATTTAAAATGATCGATGGTGTGGTGAGGACTTCGAAGAATGTTAGACATGTACCAGAGTTGAGAAAGAACCTAATTTCTTTAGGCATTTTAGACACCAGTAGCTATTCTTATAAGTCAAAGTGTGGGGCCTTGACAGTGAAGAAATGAGCTATGACTATGATGAAGCAAAAATTGGCAGGGAATATCTACATACTACTGGGAAATACAATTGTAGATAGAGTTGCTACAGCAGAATCTAAGTCAAATGACACTCTTTTATGGCATATGTGACTGTGGCATATATGAGAGCGTGATATGATTGAGCTTTAAAAGAAGAATTTGTTAAATGGAGTAAAATCATGCAAACTAAATTTCTGCAGGTTTTGTATACTTGAGAAACAGTTCAGAGAATAGGTCAAAATGGGAAAGCACAAAACAAAGGACATTCTTAATTATGTGCATTCTAATGTTTGAGGACCAGAGAGTGACTTCTTTAGGGAAGTTTGGGTATATTTCATGAAGCATAAATCTGAAACCATTGCCAAAGTTAGATCGTGGAAAATAGAAGTAGAGAATCAGACGCGCAGGAAAATTAAGTATCTCGGGACAAACAACAGTACATAGATTATAGTTTCTGAAATTCTATAAGGAGCATGGTATTCAGCAACACTATAAAGTTCGCAAAGCACAACAGCGAAATGGTATAGCGGAGACAATAAACAAAACAATTGCAAAATAGACAAGATGTTTGAGGTTGAATGCAGGGCTTTCGAAGAGTTTTTGGACAGAAGCAGTGAACATGGCATGTTATGTTATAAACAGATCACCATGACCAGCACTAGATGGGAAAGTTGTAGAGGAAGTTTGACTAGCATTGAAGTTGATTATTCTGAATTGAGAGTATTTGGGTGTCCAGCTTATGTCCATGTATCCAGTGATCAAAGATCCAAGCTTGATTTGAAATAAAGAAAGTGCATTTCTCTGGGCTATGTGAAAGGCGTAAAAGGTTACAAGTTTTGGGATCCAAAAGCAAAGAAGATGATAAGTAGGGATACAATCTTTGATGAAGCTCCATGCTTAAAGCTTCTCTAGAAGAAGAAAAGCTCAGTTTGGGGGGCGAGGGTAATAGCAAGAGCTAAGTGGTGCAAATAGAGCTAGACAATGTTGACATAGGTATTAATGCTCAGGGAGTGGACAATTCTGGCTCAGAAGAGGAGTAGTATCATAGTATTGGCACAGATAGACGATGAAGTATGGATTCGAGGATTCAGTTTCTTATGCACTTATTACCAGCAATAGCGATCCTATGATTTAAGGAAATTGAGTCATTCCATAAAAATGATACATGAGAATTGGTGGAGCTTCCAGTGGGGAAGAAACTGATAAAGTGTAATTAGGTATATAGAAAGAAAGAAACAATGTTAGAAAAGGAAGGAGAAATAAAAATATACAAAGCTCGATTAGTAGCTATGGGTACTCACAGAGGAAGAGAGTAGATTATAATGAAATTTTCTCTCCGGCCATCAGATGCACTTCCATCAGGATTGTCTTGGCAATGATGACTAGTTTTTATTTGGAGTTAGAACTAGTGAAGGCTGCTTTCCTTCATGGTGATTTGGAGGAGCAGATTTTTATAGAGCAGTAAGAAGGGTTCTTGGAACTAGGAATAGAGAATATTGTGCGTAAACTAAGGAAGTCTTTATATGAGATTAAGCAATCTCCACGGCAATGGTACAAGAGGTTCAACTCCCACATTATTCAGATTGGCTACATTCATTGTGAGTATGATTGTTGTGTTTACTATAGAGTTCTTGTTGATGTTGTATGTGGATGATATGCTTAGTGCTACTAAGAACATGAATGAAGTAGACAAATTGAAATCTTTGTTGGGTAGCAAGCTAGATATAAAAGACTTTGGACTGGTTAAGAAGAATCTTGCCATGGAAATCAATAGAGATAGGAAAGCCAGAAAACTATGGGTGTCTCAGAAAAATTATTTGAAGAAAGTGTTGGAGAGATTTAGCATGTCTAATACAAAAGCAGTGGGCACACAACATTGGTAAATCATTTCAGATTGTCTAGTAATCAGTGCCCAAAGAATAAAAAAATTGCAAAGATGTCAAAGGTGTCTTATGCCAACGTAGTGGGAAGTTTGAAGTATGCAATAGTGTGTACCAGATCAAATTCAGCACATGTAGTCAGTATGGTGAGCAAGTAAATGGCTAATCTCGACAGAGAGCATTGGAAAGCTGCAAAATGGATTTTCAGGTACTTGAGAGATACAATGGAGTGTGAGATAATGTTTGAGAAACAACATGATGAGTTCGGAGATACATAAATGCAGATTATGCACGCAACATGGATGACAAAAGGTCCATACAGGTTATGTTTTCACATTCACAGGTGGACCTATATACTGGAGATTAATGGTGCAGTCACTTGTGGCATTATCCACAACTGAAGCAGAATACATGGCAACAACTGAGGTAGCCAAGGAATTATTGTGGTTGAGAGGACTTATCAAAGAACTTGGGATCAAGTAAGATGAAATAAAACTATATTGTGATAGTCAGAGCGTCATCTTCTTAGTAAAGCATTAGATTTATTATGCAAGAATTAAGCACATTGATATGAGATTTCACAAGATAAGGGAGTTGGTTACTACAAGAGAACTGTTATTAGAGAAGTGGCAAACATGTTGACAAAGCCAATTACAATGAACAGGTTCAAGTATTACTTGAACTTGATTAACATCTCCAGGTGTTAAAGAGTGTGTCCCAACTTATTGGTTCAAGATGGTGTGTTTTTTCAGGTTATGTTTTTCAGTGTTTTCTCCTAAAGGGTGAATAGAATACCAAGGTAGAGATTGTTGTGTATGTGGTTAATATAAAGTAGAATATAAAGTAGAATATAGGTTTACTGAACATTCGCTCCTCGTGGACGTAGGCACATCATCGAACCACGTAAATACTCTGTTGATCTCTCTTTCATCTCTTTATTATTGCGCATAAAAAAATCCAACACCATCCTTGTCTATGGCTTATTCCAATCACCTTCTGAGATCGAGGATCCTGCATATGACAAGCAATAGAAGAAACCTGAACTAACTATCCAGGATCACACAATTGGCCAATAGAAGTAAAATTCAAAGTAAGAGACGAAACACAATAAACGTCTGAAAACGATAAATTATGTGTTAACAGAACCAACACCTACTAAAGGCAATGGAATGCCATCAATAGTCATAACAGACATAGATGAATTAGAAGGATGTAAGTTATTAAAGAATTTTGAGTTAGACAACATGTGTTTAAAAGCAAAAATCCATAAGGAAGAAATACCTGAATGACTTTAAAATGACAAACCTATACAAGTAGAGGCTAACATAGCATGTGGCTGTGTGGCTAAGAACTTCTAAAACTGCTCTGCTAAGTCAACATAGAACTGGAGGAAGGTAGCGCTTCAAATATTAACAAGTCACTGGGTGGTATGGTGACAGCTATATTAGCATTAGGACGATAAAATCACTACTGTGATTGTGGTTGTTGCTTTCTCAATAGCTTAGGACATTGAGAATTCTAATGTTCATTTTGTTTGCAAAAGTTATGCTCATCACTGGCGACTCTCTCATAACCTTTGCTCTACGATTGAGAGGGTACAGCTAACACTGAGCTGTCAGAGGGAGGAAGAGATATTTCTGAACTTCAAGTTCACTGACCAACAAACCAACTGAGAAAAGTGGAATGCAATGCAAAATTGAGCCTCTAAATCACTGCAAAGTACCATAAAAAACTAAACTAATCTTTGCTCCTCTCTAAAGTAATATATTCCTCACATGTTTTCAGTCCCGCTAATTCCATAAAAGTCAATTCATTACAAATTGAATTCATAGCGACATAAAACTCGAGAATACTCATATTCTTCTGTTGTAAAGCCCGTATATCAATCTCCAACTGATACCATTTTGCAAAGTTAGACTTAGTGTATAACTTCTGAAAGTGATCCCAAACTTCCTTTACTGTTTCAAACTTCACTGACTGTGTACTAATGGATTGCCCAACAGAATTATGAATCCAAATGAGAATTTTCGCATTGTTTGACTCCCAATTATCCATCTCTGTCACATAATTTTTAGCAGTGTTCTTGGGTTTCACAACAGTTCTACTAACATAACCCCACAATCTTTTTCCCTTTAGAAAGTTCTTCATCACAGTACTCCAATATGAACAAATTTTACCATTTAATATAATACTAATGGATTGAAGTGAATCATCCCTTTTCATTGTCATTATGAAATCAACAAATAAGCTACTACCCATCAAAAGAAATCACCAAATTCTAAGAAAAACGACAACCAACACACCACCATGAACTATTACCGGAATATGCTGCACAGTACACATATAATCAAACTAATACCATCAAATGATCATAAACTCACCAAGGAACAAACTGTCTCTTTGAAACTGTCTCGAAAAATGCGTAACGCACCCTCACAAGGTGCCAAAATCTCACCAACTCCGTTCACGCGCCATTGGAATAACGCACGTGGCGGTACACACGCCGGTCAAGTATAATCCGGTCTGATGGCCGTTCTCCACTAACCACAAAGATATAGAGACTCTATATTTCATCTTCGGTGCCATTGCTGGAGTGATGGGCACATGCTTCTCAGTATTGATTCGTATGGAATTGCTTGTCTCGTCGTCGGGAACACAAATATGGTCTCCAATCTTCAAAAGGAAGTCGGGTTAAGAGATATTGTGTATTTTCATGATGGCTCAGCACAAATTTAGGGCTTTTGATTATTTTCAATTTCACAAATTGTTTGAGAAGGAATGGGATGAAAGGATCGACTTCAACGCAAAAATTTGGGCTCTGATGCCATGAAAATAATACAAACTAATTTGATAAATCAACTAAAGAAGAAGAAGAAAACATATTATTGAGCCACCAAAAGATTAGGTTTTTTAATGAAATAATTAAGTTTATATATTACAAGAAGAGTAAATGAAAAGGAAACCTACACTAAAAGGAACTAAAAAAATTATGCAAAAATCAAATATGCTATATATGGCTAACTTTCAAAATAGGAAGTCTCTTAGAGATTAAGTTTTGATAAGTTTGGCTATGATCTTGCACATTGCAGTTTTGTTCCATATCTCTGAAGCTTGTAGACTGTGGAGACTCCCCTTGGCTGCAGATAGACCTACTTAAGTGTTTTAGCTTATTTTTCTAACAGATATTTTAGAGCGCCATTTTCCATCAAGACACAAATTGAGATGTGTGAGATCATTATTGTAGTCTCCTTCTTCATAGTGAAAACCTGCAGCTTTGAGGGTGAAACGCTGTAAATATGTGTGTTTTTTATTTTGTATTGCTTGATATACCTCTCGTAATTAGAATTCACGTTTTATCCCTAACAAAGACTCCCATATGACTTCAGTTTATTGACAGACGAGCTGTTTTCGTACCTCTTGATTATTCTCAGAGACTCCATGACAAACAAGTATAATTCGCATACTGGTTTTCCTGCCCACAGAACTGCCAGCAGCTATAGGTGAACTGGGGGTCTGCATCATTACATATAAATCATAGCATGAACTTCAAAGCAACCTACGAAAAGCAGAAATTTATAGTCTAGATAAAAGCTCACGAAGGACCAAATTAGTTTTCATGGTCATGAAATCAAGAAGCTAATAGAAAGAGATGAAATTTCAAGTCCACATAGTTATGCCATCAACCTATACTCTATCCTACATAATAAACCAAGAAAAATTACTGCCACTACACATTGATGGAGCCAGCCAACCGGTTAACAAGTTTGTGCAATCACTACATCATGATAATATGTATTATGTGATCATTTACGCACTTAGAAGTGTTTTCTAGCCATTATCCTAGAAACAAAAAACAAGGAATCCATACGTAAATGCACATGGGACTACATGAATGTAGCCTTTCAATTGCACTAAATTAAAGCATGATTAAAAAGGGAAATCAACATATTAAAAAGCTCCTGCATTCTTAATAGTAAAGATCTTTGACCACTTATTTTCTACTTTTCATCTAATAGCAATGTTTGATTGGTCATCAATTCAATTGAAGTGATTCACATGTTTCTCATCACACTAAGGGCCCATTTGGCATAGGTTTTGAGAAGCCAAGGACCCAAAAGCCACTTTTGAAAATTTTAGTGTTTCTTGAAGAGTTTTTAGAGAAAATTAGTCCAATTAAGATAGTTTTCTAGGAAGCTCTTATACGAAGAGGGAAAGCAAAAGAAGAAGCCCTGCAAAACAGACCTAAAAACATCCCATATGTAGTGTAAGAGACCTTTCAGATTTTTACTCTTGTTGTAAGAGGTTGGCCCCAAAAATAGCAAATCAAAACTATACGAAAGTAGATAGACGCTACAATTGTGAAATATATGTGGGACGGGGAGGCTATTTTTGTGATAACAAAGGCATGGGATCTTTCATAAACTCCTTAAATCTGTAGCAGCAAGTGGGTATAGATCACACATCGAGACTGAACAGCCATAAAGCTGCAGGTGCACTTGTGTGTTTCAAATTTCATTTTGCTTGCTTTTGCTCTCATAACTGGGTTAATGGCATGTATAAATGTCAACTTTAGATTTGCTTGAGTACGTAAAACAGCAAATATAGTCCAAGAAATAAACCCTTTCTTTGGGTTAAAATTCCTAGATGATGCTTCATTGGTCCAAAATAATCCCCATGGTTAAAGCAAATAAAGAACGAATCAAATCCTATTGATTATACAGAACTTGATCTCAAGAGCAGGGTTACTTACCTGATTTAAACGATTAAGGCATATATCTGGAGACCCACCTTCAGGTTTTGGAGTGAAGTCCAGCACACTTACACCACAATTGCTCTGAAGTAGAACCCTGAAGTACTCTGCTCCTAAACCTGAGTATTGGAGACAATAAAAATATGAACCTGCTCGGGTAATAAACAATGATAAACATTAGCATTAAACTATAAGGAAGGAAGCAAAAGAGTACCAATTGCGGTTGCAACAAGAGCCTGATTAACAGCATTGTGAGCAACTACCAGAATTGACTTGCCTTCATGGGTAAGAATTTTTGTCCAGCAGTTTCTAGCACGTTCCCATAATTCCCTCACAGGATAATGGCCATCAATATTGAAGTTTGCAGCATCAATTTGCCATTGACGATAAGCGGCACCATACTTGGCCTTTCCCTCATTCTTTAGGAGGCCCTGAGGTGAAGCAATCATATTAAAAACTCTGAAAAAAAAAATGTTGAATAAGAATTGAGAAAATTGCATTATTGGACACCGACATTTCTTTATATTTGCAAAATCTGATGACAGAAACAGCCAAATTTGTGTTGAATCATCACATGGCCTTGTGGAATCATGCTTCGCTTCAAATTTTAGGCACCAGCCCAAGTGGGAAACAAAATCTAGGTTCATAATGTTGGACATGTGAGAGCCATAACAAATATTTGGAGATTTGAAAGATTTCTATTGTAAGGGGCCAATTGGCAACATGGAGAAAGGTTGAGGATCAGCTTGCTCCTTTTTAAAGATTAGGAATCACTAAAGCAATTTTTCCATAAGAATTTCACCACTACTATCATTATTATATATATTCATGATTCAGTACTTCGAAGCATACTAACTTGAAATGAATAGAGGTCAATTTCCCTCAAGTCAGAATCTGTTATGATCTTCTCCCCACGAGAACCCCAAATGATCTCAGCCGTTCTCTTCGATCTAATCAGGGGACTGAAACATTTAAATCAACAAGGACAATAAGTTAAGGGGGGAGAAAAAGCTAAAAGAATTCAATGGTCTGCATTCATCATATATTAAATATTTAAGCTATCACACAATTCAAATGACCAATGTTACTTGTGTAGCGGTCATTCATTTTCTTATATGTAGCATTAGGATACACAAGTCTATACCTCAACCGTCCTCTAGAACCACCGGAATAGCTGAATTGGCTCCCTTTTCCATAAAGCACGAGGGTTGTATGTGATTATCATCCATGTTTGAATTTCAAAATGTTGAAACGCCTACTGATTCACAAACAAAAACTTTCACACTCATTTCCATAATCTAGTCTTTACTTGAAAACCAGAAAAGTCAGAGACATTTAGTTCTAGTTTTTCTAAACCAAACCAAATTAGCTGCACCAGTGTAGATTATAAATGAGTGCTGGACCTTATTTTTGCCATTATACTTCTTTTAATAACAATTCTCAGCACTTTCCTCCAGCACATTTCCTCTATATTCTTCATATGCTTGGTTATATTGCTGGCATGAAGTGCTATATATTTGCATATGCATGTATTGATGTAACTTATAACTTTCTCATAAAAACACACTCAAAAAAGTGAAGAACACCTAGATGGTATACATGTGCATACGCAATTACATGCAACCCAGACACACATGTACATATACATACAGACACATTCATATGCATATACTATATGCAGATGATCTCTATAATATATTCCCTCAAGTTTTGCCAAATTTGAGGATAACAGCACCATCAAAGGGCTAACGTGGCATTGAATTGTCAAGCGAAAACTGGTCAAAAAGGTCCCAAGGTCAATTACCTTTCAAAAATCTGATCGACCACCCTAGCAATGTTATAAATAATTCGATATGCAACAAAGAAACAGATGACTCCTACCTATCAAAGACCTGTATTAAAACAAAACTCTATAGACAAAATACAGATCTGAATATTACACTTCTTCCTTTGTACAACCTAAACCACCAGACATCAAAGTTTCAAACCATATTATGCTCAATCAATTGTACCCGTCTATATCATCATGAAGGCACCGAACAGACCCAAAAGCCCTCACACTTCCAGATTTAACGAAGTTGCTTCAATGGACTAGAAACTGGATGCAACACCAGATCAATAGTCTAACTCACATAGAGATATCACAAGGACTCGATTCTCACTCAAAGAATCTCAACCAACTCACATAGAGAAGACGAAAAGTAAAGAGAAGACAGAACACCCTTGAAGATTCTAGATCCCTCAGACACACAAAAATGAACTAGTGAATATTAGGGTAAAAGAGAATGCCCTATTTATACTCAAACAATCAACCATTGATCAGAGGCAAATCCAACGGTCCAGAGCAACTAACATATCAGGCTGATTATTGGGCTCGGGTAGTCGGCCATCTCCAGTGACATTAATGGGCAATTGTTACATTCACCTGGGTTAAAGACCATTTCATCATCGCCTAAATATTGGACTGGACGTGGCATCACAGCCCAACAACCTGCAACCTCACTCCATTGACAGGCGGGCACTCATTCTTCCTCAAATCTCATTTAATCCACATTAGCGACACCTGTGGTACATGGTTAATGATAAGACATTAAAGTCATCCCCTTGCCAAGTCAGCCTAGTGTCTGCGTCAAAAGAGCAAAGATTCATATCGTTTGGAGTTCCTTGAACTTACCCCCTATCCTTGTCTAAGGCCTACATCGGTGGCCATGATTCTCCTCACATGTAAACCCTCAAAATTATGTCAAGAATTTATCCATGTGGATATCCCAATCTCAAACCAAAACATGTACTTAGGTATTGCAGCATGATTGCAACAATCTCCTCTAGAAAAACTACTTTTGAAACTATGGAGAACCCAGTAGAACCATATAATTACTCAACAGTAAGAAAATTGCAGCCCCCAATTAAACTATTACTATCTCTTTAAAAGATGATAATTAATGGTGAAATTTTAAAAAGTAAAGAATGGGTACTCAAAACAAACAAACCTTGAGAAGCAGAGATCAAAGGAATCATCAAGAAGCATCTGTCGCGATGTCTCAGCCTGAGCTTCGCCCTTCTGAGTGAGCACCGAGAAATCCGAGCTCCCTTGAATCCGACCCTCCGCATTCCACGTGCTCTGCCCGTGCCTCACCAGAACCACTCTCTTCGAGGCCCGTATTGGTGGCAGATTTATACTCTTCCAGCTCAACAAGTCTCTTCCCTCTGAATCGTCCGGTGGCGGCGGAGGTGATACCGATGGTTTCTTGATTTCTTGCAAGCTTGAAGAAGAGTAGATAATACTTATTCTGGATGGACCAGTCTTGTTTGGGAAGTGGTGGTGGAGGCAGCGGCGGTGTTGGTGGAGCTGATGGGTTCTATGAAGGGAAAAGAGGTGTGGAGTTAGTACAGTCGAAACCATGATATTTTACGGAAACTGTTAGTTAAATTGTGTTTTTTCTGTTATTTTATGCGCTGAAAAACACTGACAGTTTTTTGTGGTGGTTAATGTTAGCTCTATCGACATGAAATAAAGCATCGGGTGACACATGGATTAAGAATTTCTATCTCCTTTTTTTTTCTTTCTCTCTTTTTCTCCCCTGGCTCTTCTTCTTTTCTTTGTGCCAGCAATGTTCAGTTCATGTTTGACTATCTATAAATTAAACTAATTTATTTTTTATAATTATTTTTAACCGCATATTTACACAATTAAAATCTTATTTGGAGGGTATTTTTAGCTCCTAAAAATAAAAATAAAAAGGACCATTAGAAGTATTTTTCAGCCATCACTTTTGATTGAATGTGTCTAGTGTGGGACCTACATTTGAAAAAATGGTCCAAAAATTTCTACTCTCTCCCCTAAAAATATGGCTCAAACAGGGACTAAATATTTTACATATAAATTTAAATTTTTTTTTATTTTTAATCACACACTCTTCAAAATAAACCATCAAATAGTAATAATTTGAATTTCTTTTCTTTTTTTTTTTCTTCTTCGTAGAAGTAGAACAGAGCTTCTCCCTATTTGATTCCGATTGAAACAAAAATTTGGACCGTTGGGCACAATGTTTACAGTGACACGTTTGAAGTTTTGGTCACATCAAACGGACCCACATAGCTAGCATGTGCTATCTTTCATCCATATCAACATTGCACATTGACCATTTTAACCCTCGTGAGTATGGTTTAAATTTGTTCCCATTTGTCCTATATGAGTTATCCAATAATGAGAGCAAAATTGGGATTTGAGGTGGTAAATGCTGCTGCATTTGTCTGAATACTTGTCAGTTAATTTTCAATAAAATATTATTTAGCCCTGATTCTCAATATGATGATTTAGTGTGATGGATAACGATTATATTTTTAATTTTTATGAAAAACAAATGGAGCCTTAATGTCGGACAAACGGTCCAAATTCTAGTTTTCATCGCTCCCAAACAGGGGTTTAATTTATATATTAGTGGGGTTTTAATTTTTCAACTTCAATATAAGGTTTTGAATCCTCCTAATTAAGGGCCTGTTTAGTAGTAATTATGAGAATTTTTTTTGATCATTAGAGAAAAATGTGTTCCACCTGTGAGTGAGGAAATTAAAAATGACGATTGAAATGGTGAATTAACGATCAAAAATTTGATTCTTTGGGCTGAAAATTTACTACCAAACAAGGATTAACAGCCTGTTTGGGAGTATTTTTTCCTTCAAAAAATTGATTTTTTGACTGTTATTTTACTATTTCAGCCTTCATATTTGACTTCTTCTCTTATAAATGAATCCCACTTTTTTTGTAATGATTAAAAAATCAATTCTCAAAATCACTCACAGTTCTAAATATATTAATTCAAGCCACGTTCACGTGACCTAAAGATTGAGAAAAAATTTCCGGACTGCTTGATGCGGTGATCGAGATTATTTCCTTGCAATGACCAACAGAGTAGGCCTATATAGGCATAGCCTTCCGAAATGTCATAAGGAATCACACGCTAATCCTGAGATTCAGCCAGCTTCTTAAAGGGCTATTATTAAATACTAGAGTCTCGTGAATTACAATTGCAAAACTGTGCAGAATTTGCTACATTTTTTGAGTATAAATGGATGATCAAAAGTTGTCTTTACTTAGCCATAGTGTGCACCTCCAATACGTTAACAAGACTGAATTCGTTTTGAACTACATTTCTTGCAAAAAAAAAAAATAAGTTTTGTAATAATGATTTTTTTTTTTTAAATGTGTAGTTAACAAGTAGGAAAATGTTTTGAATTTACGTGCAAATTATTTTATCGATAGAATATTTGGTTGAGAATGAGTTAGGGGATGGAATTATGGGACTCAGATAAGAGTTAAATAGTCTTTGTTTAATGTGGCTAAAAATCATAGTTTTAGTTTCAATAAAAATTAATTAAATATATGGTTCAAAAATTGATAAAAGTCGTGAATTCGATAAAAATGTAGGATTGAAAATTGATTTCGAAAAAAATAAATTTCAAAAAATTGGGACCAAACAAAGGCTAAATTTATAGATAAAAGCACAGGATCAAATTTACACTTTGCCCTCGTTTGGCCCTCATTTCCTAGAAACGGAAATGGATGAAATAGTGTGTTTTTTTTTTAAATGAGTGGTTAAAAAAGAAAGAAATATTTTCGATTTACGAGTAATATTATTTTATGGAAGATTGTGTAATTGAAAATAGGAGAGAGAAAAATAGAATATAACGTAATGAAATTTACTGGAGGCCAAACGAAGCTATGTTTTCATTATGATTATCAAGAAGTATTTGTTTGATATGAAGAAGTACAAAAACAACATTTTAATCCTAGTATCCCCTTTTTATTCTAGACTCCATGTCTATGAACAATACTATAAGTACATATTTTGTACAAAAAGAGAGCTATCCTCCTTCAATTGACTATAGGAAGACAGCCTTCTTTTCGAATTAAGTCAATCAAAAAAAAATCTGTACTTACAAAGTTTTCCCATGTCTATATAAAATTTGCAAGTCCAACAATAATAAATTTATTTATTTAAATTAATTTTCTTGCAAAATCATTTAAGTCATGTTTGCCTTTAAAAGATTTTCCCATAAATAATAAACCCTTGTTTGAGTCCAATTTTTTTTAATCAAAATACATTATTCAACAATGATTTGACTTATTTCAACCATGTATTTTACAATAAAATAATATTACACATAAATTTAAAAAAAATCTTATTTTTTTAACCATATATTTTCTATCATAATATTATTGTAAAATGCATTTTTTGGAAAAAATATATATATTTTGAAGTAAATAACTTTTTGCTAGTTAAGGTTAGAAATAAATTTTTTTTGTTTTTTTAAATAAGAAGCTTTTACCATAAAAGACAACAATGTTTTGATAGTTAAAACAAACTGAATATTTTCTGATGATTTGTAAATGACTACAAGATTAAAAACCTTTATATATATTAAAAAGGGGGGTAGCCAAGAAACAAGTTCAACTATATAGCTTGTTTGGTACAGCTATTAATCTAATTAAAATTAAAATTTTGATCGATATTTCAATATTTTAGTCGTCATTTTTAAATTCTTCTCTCACAAATATGATCCACCTTATCTCTAACAGTCAAAAAATCAATTATCAAAATCTTTACCAAACAACCACATAATTTAGTTTTTTAACTTAAGGGAGTGTTTGAAACCCATTTTTATGTAAAAATATATTTTAAAATAATAAATTAATAGAAAATGTATAGTTAAAAATAAAGAAAAGTTTTTGATTTACGATGTAATATTATTTTAATAAAAAATGTATGGTTAAAAAGAAATGAACGAAAAATACATTTTGAAAAAAAAACGTGCACCAAACGGGGCCTAACAATTTTATTATTATTATTTTTTACCAGGGGTATGACAAACCTTTTATCTTAACCGGGGTGAACTATAAATTCAAAAAAGTTAAAAGTATTTTACTTTTTTAAAAAAGAAATAGAAAAAGGAAAATACAAAAGTTTCTCTGTGATGTCATCACGTTTATCGCAAGAGCAGAAAGTTGAACGCGGTTTCATCTTCGTCCTCCCTTCACCACTACTGCTACTACTGCTCACTGCTTCTCACACACACACACACAGATACATACAGATTTTATAACTCATATCTCATCAGTCCTGCTTACTCTCAATCCACATTTCACGCACTTACACGCTAAAGCTCAGATCTTTCTCACTTTCCTACTCCACTCTAAAACCCTAACACTCTACTCAGTCTCAGATCTATGCATACACCCACGTATATCTCTCTGTCTATATGTATATGTTACATTTGCAGACTTAGAACTATGCATTTGTAGTGTATATTACTAAAAATGGCAAGCTCCGACCCGAGTAAGAGGCCTCGACCCGGGCAACCTGATTCTACTGCAATGCCACCGTCTTCCTGGGCCAAACGCACCGGATTTCGACCCAAATTCTCTGGAGAGACTAATGCCAGTGACTCTGGCCAAATTACATCTCTACCTCAAGTTCAATCCAAGCCCAAGGAACCCAACCCTAACATTGACCTTGAGGCTGGCAGACCGAAGCCCAGCCCGGCAAAACCTCCCCTACCGACATCCAATGGGGAGCCTGGGGCTGTGAATACCCCAGGGGATAAGGAGAAGGAGCAGACGCCGCCGGTGAGGAAGCGGAAGGACTCGGATGGAGGCGGGAATTTTGGGGCGAATGGGCAGCCGCCGGTGGCAGGAGAGGGGAGTAGGAGGGCCTTGAGGGATGAAGCAGCAGCTGCCCCGGTTGATGTGCTGCCACAGACGGCGCTGGATGACGATGGGTTTGTCTCGAGGCATGCACATATGAAGTATGAGCTCAGAGATACTCCTGGTCTTGGTGAGCTTTTAGTTTAGGATTATGGTATTTTATGGTAGAAATAACTCAAAGAAATTATTTAGTGAGGGTTCTCAGTGATTAATTGTTGAATAAAATAGAAATAACGCACAAGATGGCCCTCATCTGAAATTCACTATTAAGAAAAGAAGTTTACAAGAGAAAAAATGCACATCCTATCTTGTCTAACATCTCTCTCTTTTATGATTGTACAAAATCTTAGGATTTATGAGATGAATTAGGACAAAATTATTAAGTGTGAAATTCCTAAATTGTGATTTGTATTGGCTTTGTACAACGGCAATAATTAGGCTCCACAATTTAACATAAATTATTATCGGCTTTTTGATGAGCTATGAATCCAAATGCACTTTTTTTAAGTGGAAAAAGATTATTAGTTTTCGTCTGTACAGTTCTGCTGATGTTAAAATAAAAAGATGAGAATACTAATGTTCATTTTGAATAATTCTGCTGATGTTGAAATGGGTTACAGTTACCTACTACAAAAAGTGGGTAGCTTTATTTAATTGTTTATTGCAGTATTGACCATTAGGAAAAAAGGAAAAGATTAGAGTGGAGTATTATGCAATTTTTATCAAATATTTTATATAGCTTCATCAGCATTGAAACAGGTTACCTTTTTTTGTTTGTAAACAATGGCTTTATTTGATGCTTATGTAATATTGATAACTATCTAAGTGTCTATCTGAAGAATATAATGTGATTATAAGTGCTGCTTTTTTGGTACTATAATTATAATTGCTCTCTTGCTTGTGATATTTCAGTCCCCATTGGTCTGTACGGATTGCAACATTATCTTTCCATGTTGGGTTCGTTGATACTAATTCCTCTTGTGATTGTTCCAGCAATGGGTGGTACCTATGTGAGCACTTGTAATTCATTCTTGTTAAATTACGTAATCTATCTCTTGTTGTGTTGTATTTATCATTTAGTTTAGGTAAACTAATGAAAGTTGATATGTGTAGGAGGATACAGCAAATGTGGTTTCCACTGTGCTATTTGTGTCGGGACTGACAACACTTTTGCACACTTCATTTGGATCAAGATTGCCTCTAATACAGGGCCCTTCCTTTGTTTATCTTGCTCCTGCACTTGCAATAATAAACTCTTCCGAGTTTTTGGGACTAAATGACAATGTACGTATCTAGGCTTTCATAGCTTGTTATTTTTATAATGTTGTGTGGTTACAGCTGGAACAGAAATATAAGAATAAGATACATTTAATAATGCCATGAAGATTAAATGTTACCAATTGGTAGCATTCTTCGTGTATATTTGAATTTTTTGTTACTAACCAGTGTATTGTCGCTTTTGTTTTACTCTTTACATTGTCACGTCTCTATGGTATTAAATCTCACACGCTTAACTATCTGTCTTATTATTATTGTGTAGATAATTTTTCAGATATATGAGAAAACCCTAAGAAAGTTTATTTGATCATTATTTACAGTCATTTGGTATCGTGCATCATTTGACTGGAGAAAACATCCAAGCCCCATTCACATTTTTCTTTTTCTTATCAACGAATAGATCTCTTTGCTTGTATGACTTAGATTTCGCACATTTCTCGAAACAGTGATTCAATTGATGGGTTTTGGTATGAAATTTATGAGATTGATATTCAAATATTTCTTCTTAGAACTTATTGATTTGACCACATAAGCGGGACCAAGCATGTTGTTGCCAAAAGTTGAACCTCGTATTTCTTCTAGAAAATCTCCTAATTGTTCCAGAGCAATTAGAAAAAGATTCTTTAACTAGAAAGAATTTGATTCACAAAGACATCAATAATGACAAAGGAACTCTAATTTTTTTAACAAATGCCGTTAATGGTAGAAGTTTTTGGATTGCTGAAGTTGGTGCTGTAAGGATTGGAAAGAAGGCTAAAAGTCCTAGTACTTTTGGGAAAAATGAGAAACTAAAAGGCTATTAAAGATAATGCTTTATTTTATGCCAAAGTCCATTGTTTTCCTGGCAAGGTAGTACCATCTTATCAGCGTAAACAAAGTTTTCATGGACAAGTGCATCCTTTCAGGAAAATTTGTTGTAAATGACTCTTTGGTTTTCCGAGAACTCTTGTCCAGAAATAGTAAAATGAATAACATTATGCGATTATTTTTAGGAAGGCTATGGACTTGATATTCACGAAATTTAGAACATTTTCTAACCAACTTTTATTTTATGTCTTGCAATTATTCTAATTTCTGGAATCCAATATTTTGCCAACGTACATTCTTGTAGTTAGAAAGTTTTCTAATATTGCAGACTTTCAAGCATATAATGAAAGAGCTACAGGGGGCAATAATTATTGGTTCAACTTTTCAAGCCTTCCTGGGATACAGTGGATTAATGGCATTGCTGTTAAGGTACATTTATATTCTTTGTTTGAATGGCCCAATTTGAAACTTTTTCTCTTATCTTGTATCTGTAATCCCCTTTTTCTTACTTGATATGGATAATACTTAAGGTTCAATGGATGGGAGATAAGATTTCTGCATCATGTTATTGACGAGATGCTGATTTGCCTCCCAAATTAATTCTGTTGTATGATTGGTGTTTGTTATTTGGAAGCTCATTATTAGTGGATTCTGGCTACTGTGTAAACCATGGAAAATTGGGCTTGGCCTCAGATTGTACCAACACAATTCGATATGATAAAGTGTTAAGGTTTCATAATGTAGCTTAGGAGTTAATATTTGCATGATAATACAGACTGATTATTTGGATTTTGGAACTGCGATACTTCCAAAAAGATCCATGGAGATTTTGGGATCCCTTTTCACCTTTGACCTGAAATAAAAATATAATATGCTTCTTTTCATAAACTGACTTGAGTATGCAAAAGAACAAAGCTGCTAGCATCTTACAAATCTAGATTCAAGGACTAGTATATTTTGAGCAAAATTAGTGAAGATAAGGGTAGAAACCTGTTGCTAATCCAAGATCAATATGAGTAGTTATTTATTAGAAGTTTTGTTAGGTTCAAGTTCTTTACCCTGTGAAAGGCAAGCTGGGATTTCATTTGTAACTGGACTATATTGAAAATTGATTTTTTCTCTCTTTTATTCTTCTCTGTTTCCTCCCCTTTATCCTTCTCTCATTTCTCACCTTTCTCCTCCTACTCTCATTTCTCTTCCTATGCCTCCTTTTTGTGTTATGTTCTACATCAGTTTGGTATAAGAACCTACCGGATTGTTCATCAACATTAAATTTTGTGAGTTCTTCGACAAAATTACTGTTCACGTAAGTTCTTGTTTATTCCAATTCATGGTTGACTCCTGCTTTGGCACACCTTAGCATGAACTTTATCTTACCACTACCTCAAATGGATAAAATTCATCCTCGACCTTTAGTAGTTTTGGATAAACTTCCCAATTTGCCACATTCTAGACATCACTCCAAAACTATTGTTGCTTTGTGTTGCTACATCACCTTTCAAGGCTATTGTTTGTTTACATAATTCCTCTATTGACCTTAATCGTTTCTTACTAAATACAGTCACAATTTACTTGATTTTAATGCACCTTGTGGGCACAAAAATTTCAGAGTATTATGTGTTTGTCACAAATTCCTTTAATGCAATATCCTACCCACCATAAGAAAAGGTCAAATCGTCAATCACTTGAAATTTTGACATTGCACTAAAATACATGTATTGTCTTCCAGAATGCTGGGCATGCTACCAAGGAACAAAAAAAAAAAGGATTTTTATGTTTAACGTTTGAACTAAAATCACAAGAATCAGGAGGCTATAAATTATGCTCCTAGATATAAGTAATAATAGGATTGTCACCCTTAGGTGGATACTATTAAGCTTTGTGAAAACAAAGATTGGATTTTTTGCTGCCACATTTATGGTTGGAGAGAATGAATACAGCTAAAAGACATCAGCTGTAAGAGAAAACTTGGAAAAAGGGAAAGTTTGTTTTCTCCATCCTCTGGTGCAATTACATAGTTAAGCCTCCGTTTGGATACAAACTTATAGATGATTTTGTAAATTCTGTTGATGCCAAACATTTATTTCAACCGCACATTCATAACTACTAATTATTCCCCCCATATTTCATGAGACCTGCTACTATTTCTCTTACTATTCCTATTTATAAACCTGCTAAACGGAGGCTAAAGTGCAAAAATCTTACAATACTATGTTATGCCCCAGGGAATGATCCATGACTGGAAATTAGACGCTATTCCAGAATAGGTGATTCTAAACAATAACAATAAATATTACATGTGGAACTATAATTACGCATGTGTTTTCTGTTTCTATTTCTGTTTCTTTTTAGTTGGTGCAGCATTCACAGTTTTCAACCATACTAGAGATTTTTGGGTGTTTTTTCTTAAATCTGGAAGCACATTTAAGACATCGTTCTTTTATTTTGCAATGACCCTTAATGTTCTCTTCTGCGTCTAATTTCCTCTTTTGACTGTAGTGATGCAAGTTTCTTGAAAAAAAAAAAAAAAAAGGTTTCTCAAAGACAATTTTATTCATATGTGATTGACACTCATGCGGTATATAAAGCCACGTAATAAAAGCATCTTGTTGATTGCAACTGATCCTTTTCACAAATACAATGAACTTTATTCCCTCTGTCATATTGTTTCTGTTCTTACCAGGATTTCAATTACAAATTCTCAATAACCTACACCAGTTTGTTTACCCTTTTCTTTCAGGTTAATTAATCCTGTGATTGTGGCCCCTACCATTGCTGCTGTTGGACTTTCATTTTACAGCTATGGTTTCCCACGAGTTGGTACCTGCATTGAAATTGGTGTAGTTCAGATATTATTAGTTGTTCTTTTTTCTCTTGTAAGTCAGCCATCCTGTTCTGACACTTCTTTTCTGAAGTCATATCCTTTCTCTTAATGCAAGCATGATAATGCTGCTTCTTTGAAATGGGTTTGTTACTGGCCTAGTCTGTTCGAGACGAAAAACTGAGAACCAGCTCTGAAATTGGTTTGATTATAGCCTAAAACATATCGTACATTTAAAAATACCGGTATGAAATTCGGTCAAGTAGGGTTGACGAGGTTTCCTGGCTGCATTGTTTAGAAGTGAAAAAGGACATCATTTTTTCTCACGGAAAGATCGATGCTGATTTATATCATGCTCTGTTATGAATATTCTAGAACCATACTGGTTGGATTTTGTTATAATATTAATGAAAATTATGGCATCTGGTTCGACCTTGGTACCTTTTAAGGGTGAATACCTAGGTCGGGTTTTATTACATTGATATTATGTATGTACTTTTTGTGACTTCTTATTTATTTATCTTGCAGTATCTTCGTAAAATATCGGTGTTGGGTCACCGTGTATTTCTGATTTATGCAGTAAGTTAACATCTGTACTTCTGGTTTTCTTTGGTCAATGTCTAGAGTACATTTTGAGTTAATCTTTCCTTGTATATACCTAGGTTCCACTGGGTCTTGCCATTACATGGGCGGCAGCTTTCCTTCTGACTGAAGCTGGAGCATATAGCTACAAAGATTGTGATGTGAATGTGCCAGCGTCAAATATAATGTCTAACCACTGCAGAAAGCACGTTTCAAGAATGAAGCAATGTCGAGTTGATACTTCTCATGCATTGAGATCTTCTCCATGGTTTAGATTTCCTTATCCACTGCAATGGGGCACACCTGTCTTCAACTGGAAGATGGCGCTCGTAATGTGTGTGGTGTCAGTAATCTCTTCAGTAGATTCAGTGAGTCCTGGCTTGATCTGCTCTTGTTGGTTTATATTGCCATTGGATATTCCAATTGCTGTTTAATTTAATGCATCTCCCTGAATCTTCGCTTTTGTTACTATTTCTGCTCAATTTTGATTTTTGATATGGTCCAATGGAGGAGGGAAGTGAAAGGAAAAGTTAGATGACGTGTCTTTCCTACTTCTGGGAAATGACAAAAAAATTTCTGCTTTCTTATTCTGCTATTTTTTTTTTCTTCCTGCCCAAATAAAGACAAGCTTCTCTCTTGATGTTGAGTTTTTCCCTAGAAACTAGTATTCGTCTTAAAATGTGGATTGCAGTCAGGTTATGATATGATGATTTGAGAGCAGCCCCTCTATGAGGAACGAATATGTCAGTAGTTTGACTAGTTTCTATACCTTAACACATGCAAACTGTAAATTAAAATATATAATATGAAATTTAATGAAACGTCTCAAGTTGTAGACCCTGTCACGGCAAAGATAAGAATGTACAAGCGTGTACACACACTTCAAGGTCACTGTATTTCAAGTTTTTATTTTCTTTCTTGTTTTTATTTTTTATGTTTTAGAATTCTTATGTGACATTGGAAAACATGTATCTGCAATGTCATACATTGTTCTGATTCTGTTGGTATTGGAAAATTTGTAGAAAATTCAAACTTGTATTTTAGAGTTGTCTTTTGAATGGAACATTTGGAGCTAAAATGCTTATAGTTATATCTTTTATGTATAAAGAGTTCAAATATATACTCAAAACTAACAGTAAAAATCTAATTGCTTAGGTCAGTGGGACATGTTTTGACGAAGGCCACATAACAATTTAATGATTTCTACAGTTTCCGTCCTAGAAAACTAATTCTGTAACTATAACGAAAGGGTGAGGAACAACTCGTCACTCGAGCAATAAATTTGGGGAGGGACCAATTATAATTTTACAAGAATTTGTCCTGAAAGTTCTTTATATCTCATGCAGCTCAACTATGTTCTGAATACATTGTTGTCTCTTCACATGGTGATTGCATTCCTAGTAGCCGTCATCCTTGACAACACAGTACCAGGCAGCAGACAGGAACGTGGGGTGTATGTGTGGTCCGAACCTGATACAGCAAGAAGGGAGCCTGCTGTAACTAAAGACTATGAGTTGCCTTTAAGAGTTAGCAAAGTTTTCAGATGGGTAAAATGGGTCGGACTTTAGGCTTTAAACGTTTTGATTTTGTTTTAGCCAATATCGAAGTTTTCGTGCTCGTTGGAAGCCATTTACTGGGACGGGGAAATCGTCTGATAAAAAAGAAAGCATCTCAGGTTCGTGTACCGCTGCGTAAACCCGTTTTGCTTACACGATGCGACTTCACCAGCATTGCATCACTGAGGTGAGCTGTTGATGTAGACTTCATGGGAGTTGTCTTTGTAGAGATGAGCTGTTGGTGTATATTAAAGATTTTTTTGTAACCTTTCTTCTTTTTCTTTGGTGGGTGGTGGGTGGGGTTGGATTCTCTCTGTAATTTTGAGTTGAAAATGGCAAGACTTTTCTCTCCTGTTTTTCTTATCCAAGTTGCATTTTTTAGACTGAAAGCTCATACATATGTTGCATGTTTGCTGTTTATTTTTTTACAAAAAGTTTTTATTCAATATGATGCTAATTACACTAGGAACTAAGAATGTTTTCATTTAGTTAAATCACTTTCACTTGATCAAAATGACAATGAAAATATATTTGTAGCATGTTGTCAAACCTCGTGATTTTATTTTGATAAATTTAACAAAATTGTAAAATTGGGAAAATGTGCGGTTAAAAAAGTATAAAAAATTATATATTGATGTATAAAATTAAAAATGAGTTGAAGGAATTGAATTGTCAGAGTCTACATTTTGAATCTTGCTTTTGAACATTTTAAATGATTGGTTCTGGCTAAATTTTCAGCCTACTTGTTTCTCTTTGGTTTTTACCGTGAACTCGTACTAAAACAGTAAAAATTAGTTTCTCAAAAAGGGATTCTCACCAACATTCAAAGTTCGAAATTTCTGTTGTATAAATTGTTCACATTTAATTGATATCAAGACATAGTTTTGCATTTTGTACTAGTTTGATCACATTTTGGTGAAAATTAATTATTAAGGAGAAATCTGCTTCACGGTTACAAATTATCAAATTAAATGTTCACAAATTATTTTTTGATAACAATTTATTAAATTAATTGGTCGAAACTTAACAAATTGTGAATCACGATTGTAAATTTAATCAGAATCTCACATTTTTAATATCAAATTTTATCGATCACAAGTTATCTATTTCATCGAATGCATATTATTTATTAACCACAATCGACCAAATAATTAATCACAAACACTCTTCATTTCACCCACCACCCCCCAACATATGACCACTACCACTAGAACTAGAACTACAACTGCAACTGCGACCACGACCAACATCACCACTATTAGACCACCACTACAACCACCAGCAAGCACAACCAACGAAACCTACCCAAAAAATAAAAGTACGATCACAACCTCATGAGCACTACTAACGTCACCAACACCACCTCACGAACACCGCATACATCACAATCACCACAGCTAGCACCCCCTACTGCAAGGACAACCAACAAAACCCACCTCAAAAACTCCAGCACCAGATCACAACCTAAATGTCCCCAGTTCCTATCATTCGTCATGCTCAATGGCACTATTGTAGCGCCGCTCACATCGCGTGCAGCAACATCATTGTCACTGTGAGCACCGTTGCGTGGTCCCCAATGACAATTTTCGATAGCTACGATAGAGAGAGAAGCTAAAAAATAGAGAGAGTGCGAAAATGATTAGGATTTTGAGTGGGTGGTTGGGTTGGATCATGTGGAATGGATATGAATATCAATTTAATTTTGTAATATAATTATTAATATTAAAAATTTGAATTATTATCTGATTTTGAATAAAAAACTTAAAAATCTTATATTTGAATTATAAAGTATAAAAATATGAGTGCAAGTAAATTTCACTTAATGATACATATTTTGCAAGACCATTATCACTTTGACGTTGAATTTTCATTGGATCAATTGCAACTAGGCAACTAGGATGAAAGCTCATTAACCTTTGGGGCTATTAATTTGCTAACCGGGATGATAGTTTTTCATTTCCTTGGTTTTTAACTGGCACATTATTGAATTTCAATAGGAATGTTAATGGACTGTGAAGTTCACTGGTCTTCAAAGTAGTTACCCCAATAAAATTCAGTTACTTCTAGTCAGTTTTTTATGTCATTTCCTATGCTTGAAAAGGAGTTTGGTATTATTTCTTACTATGTATATGTTATTACAAAGAATTAGCACATATAACTTTGAACATGTAATTTGGCATCGTTCAGTTTACACCTCAAGCAAGAAATGACACACAATAGACTATGACTTGAATTTGAAACGGTAAGGGTGAAAACAAAATCCTATTGAGCAAGTTGTTCACAAGAAAACACGTATCAATCGTCTTTTTATTAATCAGTTTTACACTTCATTTTAATAAGTCTTTTCACCAAAAAAAAGGAAAAAAAATGTAGGTATTTTCTTCCATTTCAACATTCAAAAGTTCCTCTGAAGAAATTCACACTCGCGCTTTCGCAAGTGCATGTATATTTCTCCACTTAAATAATACAAAGGTGATATTTCTTTTGAAGACGATGTTTTAATTGATATATCCTTTATACACGAGAGTATGTCTTGCTAAACATCTATATATGTCTTTTATGCATAAGGAATGGTCATTTTCTAAGCCAATAATGCATGTAGGGCTAGCACCAAACCACCAAACCATTGGTTTTGTGGCTTGGCGGGTCGATTTTCAGATTGGCTTGGACCCAAATCGAAAATCTCGATTTAGTATTGGTGTTTTTAAAAAAATAAATAAATAAATAAATAAATACATAAATTCAAGAGTGGGTATCCTTGAAAATGATCCCATCCGAACCAACTCAAATCGGTTTCGATCGATTTTTAACTAACCCAACACGTATCCACCCCTAAATGCATGCAGTTCACCCACCAATATTAGTTTGTTGCCTAACTAATATTAAAGCTTTGGCAAATTTATAAATTGTTTTAAAAGAGAAATAGTAGTGAGTAATACAAAATGTTGGATAATAATAAGGAATAGTTAGTAATTTGGGGTTGAAATTATTAATCATTGACTTCGACTGAATTTACAAATTGTGTCCAAACGGATTATAAGACTTAATGTTTCATTTTAAAATATTAACATTGTTAAGAGAAATTGTCAAATATCTTATGTGGTTGCTTATTTTATAATCTTTCAACATTCAATTTATCACTCAACACCTAATTGACAGAGTCTCACTCTTATCTCAAACTATATTTTGTAGCTATTTACATTTCAAAATTTGAATCGCTTGAACATTGAATGATCAAATAAAATCAGAATAATAGCTAAATATATATGAAATCAATAGTAAAAGAGGCAAGAATTGGGAATTCGAACTAAGGTGAGTGGATGACGACTTCTAAACAATAGGAATTATAGATGAATCATCTACATCGTAGTGATCAATAGCTGAACAGCTCAATTATAGTTCTTCGCTAGGAAAGAGTCGACAATAGACACAAATTTATCCATTTTGTTTTTGTATTATCCCAATAAATTGTTTAGCTAAAACTCCCTCTTGCGTTCAATTATATTCTTGTCTTCCAAAAATGTTTAAACGCTAGTAAAATACGGTACCTAAAAATTTAAATTAGTGTCAATTTAATAAATTTATATATTTAATTATTTATATTTCCAATAATTAACAATTTGACACGTGGAGATTTGAGTTAAATTTAGGAAACTATGAAACTTGTTCGATTATTATTTATCTTACACGCAAATTAAGTACTCAACTCAAAGTTTCAAACATGCAAAATTCAACTTAGCAAGACATAGCATCTAACCAACAAAATCTTCAAATAATTGGAAGCATTCGACAATGAGTTCGAAATATAAACATTCTTTAGTTTCTGCATTTCTTGGTGTACTCAAAAGGTAGTATTAGATAAAATTAAATAAAATGACATATAATATTATTGACATTTTTTCCCTTCTTTAACATGATAAATTTGAATTTTATTGATTCTCAAACATCTTTTCACCAAAATATTTTTAATTTTTAATTTATTATTATTATTATTTTACTCTTCAAAAATGATCCTGATTCTATCCTCCCTGCATCCCTCGTTACTTGATGTGTAATGTCATTTTTATTCAATATTTAATGTCCAAAACGTAGGCCCACAATTATAATTTTTATAGAAGTCTGTAGTTGTTTTTTAGGATGTAAAATGAAATCAAATGAAATCGAAATTCAGCTGAGTCTTAAAGTATTTAACATTAACATCCCTAAGAGTTGGTACAACGTTATAACGAGACACAAGACAAGCCATGGAGAAGATGACTTGGACAACCCATATAAAACAAGCAAATGGGTTTATGAATTCAAAATGTAACCTAATAAGTTGTTATTTGTCTATTGCAAACGATAGTAATGAGTTATATAATTTTACGAGTTGTTATTTGTCTCATGCAATAATGGTATTTTGAATTTATGATTGTCTAATTTAACCTTTGCATCCCTAATTATGTCTAAGCTAATAGAATTTGAACTTTACTATTTCTACATTCGGGATGTGACACTCCCCTCACAAGAGGGGAGCCCAAGATTATTTTATTACGTGTAGACCCCCCTTCTTATGAGAAGAATGTCATCCGGGGTGTCAATTCTGGATATACAAATAGCTTTATTGATAGAATTTCTTTTCAAACTTATTCCGCCTCATTAATCATAATTTGTTTACATATGTGGAAACATATTTTAAATTTAGGATTCTATAAACATGTAACTAAAATATATTGTTTATTTAAAAATGTTTGACTGGGTAAATTAAATCATAATAAATTTTATTTTTAAACAAATTTGTACATAATAGTAGTGGCGTGCGGGGTTTCATTTTCTCCATCAAGTGGCCTTTTATATCCATAAAAAATTGTTTTTAATTGCAATTCTAGGTTACTGTAGCATTTTTTTTTTAATTTTTTTCAATTTTTTTTTGTTGGAAATGAAGACAAATTTTAAGAATTATTGTAAAAAAAATATTTTCCTTTAATTGATAATTTTCATATAAAACAAAACCAAACGAACATAAAAAAATAGATGATTTTCTTGAAATTTTTGTTTTTTTTTATTTTTTTATTTTTTGACAATGGAAACAAATTGCATCTCCAATACCAGTAAATTCTATCCCTTAATTGACAATTTTCATATAAAATAAAGTCAAACGGACATCAAAAAACACTTTAATTTAAACATTTTTCACGTGGAAAATTATACTAATCAAACACAATAATTTACAATTTCTAGGAAAACAATTTCTCATCAATTCAATTCCCTAAAATTCATTTTCTTTCCACCCAAATTTCACATTTGCAATGAAATGGACCTAATTGCAAAATATTAATGAATGAAAAAGGAGTAAATATTGCCAACTGTACAGGGTTGGAAAAATTTTCGTACTTCTATTTATTTTTTACACTA